TCTAATGGGATTTAAACATACACAGTATCAGGCAACCAGAGGAACATGGGCAGGGAGATTCTATGGTTCATAATCTGGAGTCTTAAATCCTGGTCAAGTTTACTGTGATGAGATGGGTTTTTAAGTTAGGCCTCTGTCACTGAGCACAGTCTTAAATCCTGGTCAAGTTTACTGAGTAAACTTTTCTCATAGGGGAGAACACATCACTTTCTCACTTGCTGGTACAGAAGCCTGGCAAAGAAAGACTTTCAGTAACTTCAGAATTTCTTGGTCCAGACACTACTTTTAAGAATTTCTCCAAGTAAATCTTTTCACCTTGTGATAACTGAGGTGACTGATCATCTTCAAGGCCTTGAAGGTGCAGAATCATGTAGTTTTGAAAGTGGACCTTAATGGAAACAGGCTCTCGAGACAAATGAGTGTATTTAGACCCCAACCCCACTTCAATTCTGACACGGAAACTCTTTTCAGGGTTTTCCAGGTAGAGAATACTGTATTCAGAATTGGTTTACATTCCCTTCTTCAGAGAGCACCTTGGAATTCTGTGGCTCACCCAAGGCCACACTGTCTGGGCTTTACTACCAGGAGGCACTGTGGGAGAATCAACTCCCCAGTCTCTGGCAGCCAGGTAATTAAACTACAGAGCTATTCAGCCAGCTAAGGCTAAATATTTTTATTTTTGTTTTTGCTTCTGTTTTGTTTTGTTTCTTGCCTGATGTGGCCCAGGATGAGTTTCATGACTCAATGGAGATTTCAGACTAGAGTTCAACTTGGACTCTGTTCGAGTTCAGCACTAACCACTACATAATTTTCTTTGATATGAGGGTCAACGGGCTGTACGACTATACTTTTTTCGGGGGGGGGGCGCTATCTCCCGATTTGTGTCGGACAGAAGTGGACTGCTCTCTCCTCTCAGATATGGGCCGGTCACTCCCTGTGGCCCAGGATGAGTTTCATGACTCAATGGAGATTTCAGACTAGAGTTCAATTTAGACTCTGTTCGAGTTCAGCACTAACCACTACATAATTTTCTTTGACATGAGGGTCAACGGGCTGTACTACTATACTTTTTTTCGGGGGTGGGGTGGGGTGGCACTACCTCACGATTTGTGTCGGACAGAAATGGACTGCTCCCTCCTCTCAGATATGGGCCGGTCACTCCCTTTCCCTAACGTAGCCTACCTGACAGGGTTGTTGTTCCGAGGGGAAGAGAGGAGGAGAGAGAGTCTTCGAACTGTCAGTTCCTTAGAATTAGGAATTCGGAGGGTGGGATACAAACGTACAGATCTGTCAATCGATGACACGAAAAATCTTAAAACTGAGCGTTTGGTTTTCCAAGAGGAGACACCTGAAATCGAAAGCCTGTGCCAAATAAGCATAATAAGCACATTGCCAGGTAAATCATCATAAAACTGCGGCTCCGATGGAGAGGAAGGCGGAGCTTTGGACTATGATCCCCAGAGCCCAGCCCGTCCCGGCCCCTTCGGCAAAGGCGTTCCAAAGGCAGTAACTTTCCCAAACTATGCGAGGAAAAGCGGAGAAGAACGGGAGGCTCTTTTCGGCAACTCCTCCCCAGACACTGCAGAAATGCACGTGCTCTTTTGGAAACACTGAGAACCCTTAAAGTGAAAATAATTGTTCGTCATACGTAATTAAGGCAGGCTTAGGCAAACTGAAACTTTGAGACGCCTTTGTACTACCGCACCCACTTATCTCGCCAGTTTAAGAATGATGGGGATTGTAATCCGAAAATCATCTGGAGGTTCACAAATGACCCACGCTTCCTTAACTGACATGTGGGAATTTGGGCCGAAATGGACCTGATCCAGGATTTTCTGTAGAATACCTCGTTCGGGACGATTCTCTGGATTGAGTTTGCAGGGAGGAACCCGCTTTTTCTCTCTCTCTTTCCCGACATCGTGGCTTCAAAACAATTCAAGTTAAGGGGACTCGTCCAGATTTTGATATTTCTCCAACTCCGTCCGTTTATTTCGTAATCTTACAATCAGCTTTGATGGGGGGATAAGGAAAAGAAAAGAAAACACCATCTTCACGCCTTAGCATCTGATGATCCGATCGATAAAACAAAACACTTCGTTTAGAAATAAACGCGATTACTGGAGCCTGCCGGGGTCTAAAACCCCAAAAGAGAAAATTAGAGGATTAATCCTACAGTTTAACAAATCTTTGTTCAGAGGCATTCAGGATCTTGCCATTTGTCTTCTTAAACGGGTGTCTTATTTATTAAGCCTGGCTACCAGACAGGATTTATTCAGAGCGAAAAGGGGGGTAGAATATAATTAAGAAAAGATGCGAAAGTGATGCGAATGAATAACTTTCGGGGATTTCTGAAGTGTGCGTGCTGCTGACATCAGAGGGCAATGTTGTTACAGGTTACCTGGGAATAACCACTCCTAGAATCCAATGGGATTATTTTTCTATACCCTTGTATACTTGTGCGGTCCATAAAGTGTGTTCAAAATTTCTGCTTTAAATTGACAGTTTTGTCTTTCAGTCCTTTTTATTGCAACCATTTGCTACATCCGAGTTAGAAGAGGATGTTTGCCCCCTCAAGCAAAGGCTCGGAGCGCCCTACAAACAGAATCTGCAACCTCATTCATTGGATGGGAGAAGGTGGCTTTCAAAAAAATCTTTTGCCCAATTAATCGTGTTAAGGCACGTGATTTTCAAGTGGCAAGACTCTTCTCGGTTCCTGCTGCACAGAAAGCTTCCAGACAAGGCTGTGGGACCTGGCATTTCCGAAAACGAGCGTGAAGGGGGAGATATTTCCAAGGCATTAAGGGATCCAGGGATTAAGAAATCCGAGTTCATCCTGATTTAATTTCAAACTGCTAATTTGTATTGCTTTTAAATCTATTTTTACCTAACACTTTTAATACAATATTTTAAATTCTTTTTTAAATGTTTGAATAATTTGCCGTTTTTTAGCTTTTATTATTGCTTTTAATTGTGTAAACCGCCTTCAGTCCTTTTTTTGGGGGGGAGAAAGACGGAGTAAAAATATTTAAAATAAATTAATAAATAATTTCGGCGTTTGCTGTATCAGTAAAACGCCAGGCCATCACATAACTCGCCATCTTTCTCTCCGTCCTGATTGATGTCCCTAGTGCTACATATGCATCGAATCGGTGTCTGCTATATCAGTAAAACGCCAGGCCATCCACACAACTCGTCATCTTTCTCTCCGTCCTGACTGATGTCCCTAGTGCTACATATGCATCGAAATAGTGCCATAGCGAGTCACCACCCCGTTGAACAAGGAGCACTTATTCCATGGAGAGTGTTTGGTTTGCTTTTTAATAACATCCGAATCTGATAGAGGTTCTCTCGCAAACTGGGTTGACTATACATCGCTCCAGGTGCCTAGGATGGCTGTCTACCAAGGCCGCCTTTTTCCACAGGCGTTTTAATCAACTTGCGTGTGTTACGCTCACTCAAGTCGGAAGGGACATACAGCGAGCCTAATTTATTTGTTCATTTGTATCGATTGTTACCCCGCCCATGTTGTGGCCAGACCACTATTCCAACAGGTGCCTGTCATGGTAAGTGACGGTTTCCCCAGTTTTAGCCCCCACCCCCAGTGCGTTTCCATGGGGAAGCGAGGGTTATTCCGGCTGTAGTCTTAACGATTGGGAGGGGGGGACATCTGGAACACTACTTCCTTATCTCCATATCATTTTAGCGCCTCATTACTCTTCTAATTAAGACATTATTTTCGAAAGAAATTAAGTCTGAGGATTGGAACCTAAAAGATAACGCAATCGCGCTATGTATATCCGCCCTAAAGTCCAACCTTGGGTCCACTAAGCTTACCCCACTGATCTAGCAAGACCTACTTATGCTGCGTTTACATGGGATTCTGTTGCACAAATATACTAGCAGAAAATACATTCCATTTTATCCCATGGGACTTAGGATCCAGGTGGAAAAAAATACTGTACTGATATAGCAAATTCCCCTGTGATCGAAAAATAAAATTATATATGGTTGTGCAAAAGACAAAATATAGCCATTATTAGCCAGGGCACTGCCACTGTCCTCTGCTTCTCTTTTCCACAATCGCTGTTTCCTGCAGACCGTCGTTTATTTTGCTCAGACTGTAGCGCTATTCATTGTAATACAGTACTGCTTTAAACCTCTCAAGGTGTGCTCAGAATCCACGTTCTATGCATTTATTTGTCTGTCAATGAATTTTCTGAAAACGATTATCAGAAAAATATAAAACCTGAGAGGAAAATCCTCGGAATTTATTTTAAACTGGATTTCAGCACCATCTTTCTCTTTCTTCAAGGAAGAAGTCCCACCAAAATCTAGGAGAATTTCACTCAGGCGGAAGCTTCCGGGTTCAGCTAATCGATGAATCGAGTTTTCATATCAATATTTACTTGAAATGGAGCCTACATATAAGTCCAGAGTTAGCTGTTTTGGGTCTCCAATTTAGAGCAGTAGCCACCGCCCCTGAGTTAGTCCAAGACGTTTAGGGCACCTAATAGATAGAAGCAAAGTAGGGGCAGATTTATCTCCATAAAGTACATACAGAGGCAGCCCCTGGAGGGTGGAGGTGTTTGCAAGTGAAGACACACACGCACGCACACACATACACAGATCCTGTCCTTTCCTTAAAAGTGTCTGACGAACATCTACACAGCCTTTTAAGTGATGGCACAACTCAGCACCCGAGCAGCCCCATCTATATCGACAGAGTGTGAAGGACAGGTTGCTTGAATATCTATCCTTCCACCCGTTGGGCTTTTTCTTTTCACACGCAGCATTTTGCCTCCTTAAAACACGGGCACATCTTAAAAAGAACAACACGCCGCATGACAGCACCATCCTGGGTAACCACCTGAGTTCCTTTATTGACGAACTGTGTCCAAGTCAACATTTTTTTTACTGGGATATAGAAATCGAAGCTCAATCTGTACAAACCCTCTCCCCCACCCCAAGGCGGGTGCATAAACATTCCCGGTTTAAACCCGTCAAGTGAGCTCGTCGTTGGTTGCCTTAAACCAGCCAACCGGGTCAAGATTCTCGGGCTCCTGAGTCTGAAAAAGAGAATTTCCACTACAAGGAAGAAAAAGAGTCACGGACACATGGGGGGAGAGGAGGGGACTTACCCTTCCCGCCCAGTGTTTCTACACATCTTCGAAATATGTGTTTCAGTCAATAAATTACAATAAATACAACCCAAGAGGTCCGTCTGTCCTTCCTCTCCCTTCCACCTATCTCGCCCCCCCAAAAAACACCCCACCCCCCACCGCTTTCCCAGAGTCTGCACAAGAGACTCACAAC